GAGGAAGTCTCGGTCATATCGGAACTTGCCGGGTTCAGCCGACTCGTTGAGCTCAGGTTTAGGCGACGAGATGTTCTCGGGGTAGTGAACCTTGCTGAAGTTGTCGATGAACTTGGCCGAGTTGAGCGAAGCCGATGCGGCAGAGCTCGACGACTCGCCCTTCACGGGCTGCGAAGCCTGCGAGGAAGGAGACTGAGTCGCAGTCGAGTCGGCAGCGGTCTTCTTCTTCTTCTCGAGCGCCTCGCTGTCGAGCTTGATGCCGTTCGAGTTGGCGATGCTGCTCATCGGCTTGGCAGGAAGACCCGCAAAGCCAGGTGTTCCGGGCGTGCGAGGGGTTTGTGGAAGGCCGGGCGTCTTGGGCGCGGTGAGCGTGTCATGCGGCGTCGGCGGGACGGACGAGGCCTCCCGAGCCATACGCTCGACTTCGGCAACGGAGCTGCGCATGCCAGCGGCATCCTTGCCGTCGCCCTCGACGTGCTGCGCGGCCTTCTGCGTGTCAATGGGCGCGGGCTTGGGCTTGCCGTCGTCGCCAGCCTTGGCAGCAGGCTCAACGCTCGCCTCGGTCTGCTTCTTGGCCTCTTCGGCAGCCTGGGCCTTGGCCTTCTCCTCGGCCTCCTGGGCTTCCTTGGCCTCGCGCTCCTTCTTCTCGGCAGCGGCGGCAGCAGCGGCGGCAGCTTCGGCCTTCTCCTTCTCCTCGCGCTCCTGCTTCTCGGCAGCCTCTTTCGCCTTGGCCTCCTCGGCGGCTTTTTGGGCAGCAGCCTTCTCGTCGGCCTCGCGCTTGGCTGCCTCGGCTGCTTCCTGCTCCTCCTTGGCCTTGCGTTGGGCGGTCTCCTCCTCGGCCTTTTTCTGGGCCTCTGCAGCGGCCTTTTCCTCCTGCGACTTCTTCTCAGCTTCGGCAGCGGCAGCGGCGTCCTTGCTCGAGCTCTCCTGCTCTGCCTTTCGCTTGGCTCCCTCCTCTTTTGCGGCGTGGACCCGCTTCATGAAGTCTTCCGGGGTCTCCATACGGACAGGCTTGCGCTCCGCAGGCTGGGCGATGGCCGGTGCCGCCTTGGGCACGACGGGCGAGCTAGTGGCGACCGGTGCAGCGGCCTTGTTGCTCGTCGAGGGCGTGCGCTGGATGCTCTGGATGTCGACAGCCGCCTGGGTCTCAGGGTTGACAATGCGGATGGCACTGCTCTGTCGCTTCTGCTGAGGCTCAAACTGACGCGCAGCCGGGCTCATCGGGTTACTAAAGGAGTGCGATGGCGAGTGGTGCGCAAAGCTGCCCGCCGGGCTGAAGCTCTGAGGACGGCCCTGACCAGGCTGGCCGAGACCGAGCGGCTGGTGGGCTGGCGAGGCAACATTGCTGTGAGATGTCGAGGGTGATGGGGGCACGTTGGCACCGCGAGCTGGAAGGGGGGTGGAGGGCGCCATGGATGGAGTTCCGGGCAAGCCATGCTGGCTCATGGGCGAAGCACCCATGTTGGCATGTCGAGGCGATCGAGGCGTGCCAGGGATCTCGTAGCCGGGCTGCTGCTGACCCCAGTGCTGCGGCACGGGCGAGTAGCCGTAGCCGGGGTGGTAGCCGTACTGAGGCGGCGGGTATGCCATGGGCTGCTGGTGCTGCCAGGGTCCTGCCATGGGCTGCATCGCCTGCATGGGGACAGCGTTGGCCATGTGTGGAGATCGAGGAGTCTGAGGACCGCTCTGAGGGTGCGGGTGGAACTGCTGATGCGGTGGTCCCTGCGAAGCGATGCGAGAGCCCTGCTGCTGCTGAGGCTGGTGGCCAGACGGCGATCGCTGAGGCTCAAAGGGACGGGCACCGGGGTGGTGGCCGGAGCCGGCTGGAGGTCTCAAATTCGACGAGGCGTGGCGTGCAGGCTGACCTTGGGGACCGCCAGCGGTGCCGGCCGGCGTCGACGGTGCCGTCGAGGCTGGCGCAGCGCTAGACTGAGAGGGCGACGTCGAGGCGTTGGAGGCGGGGGCAGTTGATGGGGCCGTGGAGCCCGAGCCAGAGCCCTGGAAGAGCTTCTGGAAATCCATGGATCGCGGTGCAGCGCTGTTACCGGCTGGGGAAGAACCGTTCTCTGGCTTGCCGCCGGCGAAACCAATGGTGGTCTTCTTGGATTGCGGGTCCTGAGCGGCGACGGAGCCAAACACAGTGGGCTTCTCGCCGTGGAGGTGCTGTCCAGAGCTCGGCTGAGCGGCGGGAGACGACGAGAGCATGGCGTTCTGGTCATGCACCGAGCCAAAGTTGATGGCAGCGGCCGAGGGTCGCGCGTTGGCGGCTCCCTTGGGGAGGCTTACTGCGGACTGACGACGGGACTGCGAGGCGCTAGCATCGCCGTTGGCACCAGGGGCGGCGTTGGTAGTAGGGCCCGCTGGGTTGTTTTCACTCGACATGGGCGGGATGAAAACAGTCGATCAAGCAAGCAGCATGTAAGCCGCTTGGCGTATGAGCGATTTGGGGTGGTGTGATGAGAGCGCCAGAGGATCGAGGGAAAAGAGTGCAGTGGAGAAGCGTAGGGCGGAATGGAAAGCGAGAAAAGGTGATTGTGATTCTCTAGCGTCCCGCAAAAGTCCAGCTGCTGCGCTCGTTCCAAGTGTGCCTATGCAAATCTGCGTATACAGATCCTTCCGGCACTATAGATGAAACTCGTTCTTAGTCGTTAGGGCCGAGCTACACGAAAAGCTGTGTACTGTCGGCAGTCGAAGGTCTCGCTACTAGAGTGGACCTTGAGACGAAGAAAATCGGCTTTTTCTTCGAAACTTTTTTGGGGTTGAGTCTGTGCTCGGATTGTCTCGCTCTTCTCGTTTCACAAGAAACCGGGAAGAGAACAAAGTAGAGACAAGAAGAAAAGGTAGAGAAGGATGACAAAATGTCGGTCTCCAATCGAACGTTCTCCTTCTGAGTCGGGAGAAGTAGACGGATAGAGAAGGAAGGGGGAGAAAGGAAAGAGTCAAGACCTCGGATCGAAAGGGTAGACTGAGGTCGTCAACGGTGATGGTGAGGGGGTCAGGAGGGCCAGCGATGACGGCGAGCGGCGCCATACGAGCAATGGGGCGGAATGGCCGGACTCGCAGCCTGGCACCTCTCGCCCTTTGTCACCCCCTCGCAGGGCAGACGCAAGCAAGAAAACTTACAGTACTGGGCTGCGGGGCGCTGTGCCACGCAAAGCAAAGTAAAGAGGCCAGGCGGAAAAAAATCCTTGCAGTCCACCGGGAGAGGCGGCGTGGGAAGAGCCAAGTGAAATTTGAGCAGCGCGCAACTACGGTACTGTAGTGATGCGGCTGGTCAGTGGGCTGAGCCTGGCTAAGAGTGGGAGCAGTGCAGCATGAGAGATCGTCAGGGCTGCCCATCAGCCAATGAAGTGCGCGCCCACAAGCAACTTTTCTTCTTCTTCTCTGTTTCTATTTCTTCTTCTTTTTCCTTCAGCCCTTTACAGCCCCGGCAGAAATGCGCTTCTGCCGTCTTGACTTTTCTCTTTGGTCTCTGAACACGCATAGGAATATGGTCGATAATCTGCCCAGTAACAGATGTTCATCTGTTATTCTGACTCGCTGTACTTCTGTGCACTCTGCGTACATAGCCGACACATGGCTTCGGAACGTTGCCGTGAGCGTCTGATATTGCCACGGCCGTGCCAAAAAACAAAGGGAAAAAAGAAAAAAGAAAAAAAAGGGGGGGGGGAAGAAGAGGGGTTGAAACGAGCAGGAAGAAGAAATTAGGCCCGAAAATTTCTTAAGTCGGCCAGGCCTTGGTCGGTCACCCCCAGAGCGCGGTTCAGGCACCCTCAGAGCAGCGGTGCAAATTCGGCACTCTCCGCCTCTCGGGGCCCGTCCTTGCAACAGTAAATCGCACGGTCTGCTTACAAACGCCTGCAAACACGACTGATTATTGTACGGTAGCAAGCTGTCGCTGTGAGGCTCACACTATTGTTCACGCGGTTAGCTGGCTGGCTGTCTAGCTTTCTGGCCTCCGTATGGGGGCTACGCACGGGAACAGGTACGCGTACGCGACATAGGCTAAAGAGCCTACTAAACGCGACGCACACCTTGATCCTTAAAGTCTGACACTCGGGCGAGCGGACGAGGTCTTTGATTGCCAGAGCGTTGCAACTGAAGTTCATTGGCAGCTGGTTTAGCCGTGGAGACACAGGGTCTCTTCTGAAATTGGCGCTGACAGGTCGTTGACCGAATCGACCTGACATGTACATACGAGTGCACATGTCGAAGCACGTCCGACTCCGTCCATCGATAGAGGAATGCACTCGCGTGTTGTTGTGCATTGTGGTTTGCGTATTCATGCATGGACCGAGTCCGACAGACTTGCCCCACTGCCTTAAACATGACCAAAGACAAGGCATGGCGAGCAAACCTCTGTGACAAGCCATCTGCTGCGTTTCTTGTGGGGACATTGCTTCATCCGGCATCGAACGCGGGTAGTCGTGAAGTGTTCACATCGCTGACGCCCCCGGCTAGCAAGGCTGTCAGTTGTTCGATGTGAGGCACTGATCTTGCAGGCCCTTGCGTATCTACAGACTCACAGGTGGACGAAGGAGCGTTGGGAACAGCTCCACGGGAGCGCATGTACTGTGAAACCAGAAACAGCAGCACTACCGATGAATCTCTCTCGGCGTTGATCGCAGACCATGGATGGCCGTCATGGATGAGACCTTGTCGACTCGTGCGGAGTTGCAAAAGTAGTGCTAATCACGCGTGCAAGGTGACTTCAGGTCGCGGCTCGGTTCCAGCAAAGCTCCCCCTTGGCGCTGCGTTGTGTTGATTTCAGAAGCCCCAGATTTGCAGCCCTGACCTAGTGCTATTCCTTCAACCAATTGATCTGTACTGTTATGTGGTCGCCTCCACGTACAACTATATCAGGGATCAAGAGCTTGCTCATCACGAACAGTGAGGCGTTGCACGACGTCGCATTTGCTGGCAGACCATTGCAGTATGGGAGTCTACAGAGAGCATGGCGTGAGTATATATACGCATGCTATTTCCGATCACCAACGTTGTCCCAGTTAGTACAACGGTTAGTATACGGCACTTTCAAAAGTTGGCGACATGCCAGCAGAACTGCTGAGATCGGGGTTCGATTCCCCGGCCGGGAACACTTTTTTGTTCGAGTCTTTTTGGACCTGAGCATAAGTCGCAGATGCTATTTCTACCACTAGGCAAGTCAGCGAACCGTCGGGCTCGCCAGTGTTAAGTCGCATACTAATTGGCTTGAAATACCGTACAGGATTGTGGGTCCCTCACGAGATTCATCGCGTCGCTCGCGTCAAATTCGCTGCTCCTTTTACGGTGATAGAGGCGGGAAAAAAAAAGGTCATGGAAGCTGAGCCAAAAAAGTGACACTACTCCTCCACTCGGGCGCAGGCGCGGATCCTACACCAGGCCCTGCCCCGCCCTGACTGGCGCGAGGAAGCGCATGCTGCGCCGAATGAGATGCGGCCAGGTGCATACACGCCATGACAGTGACAAATACAGCTAGAGCACAGAACGGATAGCATGGTGCTGCGTGCAGACGGCACCATGCCCCAGCCGGACTCTATATCATGACGCCGCGTCGAAGCGAGGGCCCTGCATACAGTACTCGTAGGTAGTGTGTCGTCGATCTCGTCAGCTTCATCAAGCCTGTACTGAACCACATGAGCCCATCAGCAGCACCATCACCATCACCATCACCATCACCATCACCATCCCTGTCGGAGTCCTAGTCACGCTTCTACGTATCGGTAACGGCACACGTCACCTCCAGCCCCCTTGACTCTGTCCGTCGCGTCGCGCCTTCCGACAGTCACGTCCCCGAAGCAAGCGTCGTGATGCCGCCAAGACGGTCTTCCAGGCGTCTCGCCGGTGGCGCACCTTCGTCGGACGTGGCTGGACGCTCTGGAACTCCTTCTGTCGATGTCGACGCGCGTTTAAACAATGAAAATGCACCTGCGGCGCGTGACGTTGGTACTCGGTATGCCAAATCGGCCACCGAGAAGTCATTGCCTTCATCGACGCGCAGCAGCACTCCCCGAACTCCTCTGACCGATCGCAACGTGCCATCGCGTCTTCGCATCAGCACCGAGAAGGGCCTCGCCACTGCTACTTCCACCAGGAAAGCTTCCACAGCACATCCGGCACATCCGAACGAGCAGACGCGCTCGAGACGACTGGGACCTGCTCGAAAGGCAACGAGCTCACGCGGAGTGGCCGACATTGGCACAGCATCGACCTCGGCTAAGAGTTCAGGACGACACTTCGCTGTGCATTCATCCGAGCGAGAGTTGGAACTGTTCACCCACGTCGAGATTCCAGCAGTGGCACCTCGAGATGAGACTGTGCTGGACGAATCAGCGACTGCGGCGCCTTTTTCGGGAAAGACGGCACCGCCTGCCAACAGTGGCCGTGTCTCGAGGCCAAGGAAGGAGCCGGTCAGCACCCAGACGCTGGCTAGCGTAACGGACAGCGAGGAGAACAAGCCACTACCAACGACCAGACAGCGTGCTAGAGGCTCGCCCGGTCGGACAAGCCGGAAGCCCGTCGCTGCGAAGTCGGCAAGTCCGCGTCCGCCGATGTCTGCATCCATATCGTCACACAGCTCTGCTGACGATAAAGAAAACGTGCCCCCAACAGGAGCAGTGCTCGATTCTCAGCTTGGGACACTTCATCGTGGTGCCGCAGGCCGCCGCTCTCCGTCCTCTTCAGCACTTCAGCTCCAACGAGGCTTTGGACACCGCCACGATCTTACCAGCAGCGATCCCATTCCCCTCCACTCAACACCCCTTGTCAGTCATCGAAAGTCGAGCGGCAGGCCAAAGATGCGTTCCGGTACGCCTTCGCGGGCAGCTTTGCAAGAGCTGCAGGTGCAGCCTTCGCTCGACGAGCTCTTTCCAGTCAGCTCACATTCAGATTCGTTGGATTCGCCGGGCGTAGGCCGACGCTCTTCCGCTGTCCCCGCTTCGGATTCCAAGCTGCAAGAGTATCAGGATCTCGGCGTTCTCAAGGTGAGGGCATGGAAAGCGGCCGGGAACGGTGGCCAGGACATTGAGCCGCTTTCGCCGCTGGGGTCGACCGAGAGCCATGATGTTGCTGATCTGTCTGCCTCCGTACCCAGACATGTGGAAGCTGAGGGTGGAGTGACAGCCTTTGTCGAAGTTCCAGCATCTGGCGATCACTCTGAGGAGCTCGCGTACTCTGCTCCAAGGGATGACGACGACGACGAATTTGGGTTTCTGATGGCTGAGCGCAAAGTCAAGAGGCAACGGAATAGGGCGTCTAGCCTGCTCTCCAACATGGCGACTCCTCCAGTCTCCGCGACAAGACCTGCAGGATGCGTTGATGATCTGGACGACGATCTCTACATCGATGATCTTCCCGAACCGATTCATACCAGCGAGGACGTGCGTCTGGCCGAATTCGCCTTCCACATGTCGTCATCCCCGCCTCTGGCTGCTCCTCCTGGCGAGGTTGTTCCGCCAGCATCGCAGAAGGCAACAAAGCTCGTTACGCCGCCATCGCCATCTCCAGTCGACACCGAGTCCGAGCGGCCAAATGCCGAAGAGGAGAGCACGGGTCGAGTGACTCGGTCGCGGTCGCGAACTCAGCGCCTTGGTGATGCTACCGCTGTCACGCCGAAGGACCTTAAGGATGCAGGCGACGAGACTTCAATGCCTTCCCTGAGTGGTCTACTGACCTCGTCGCCGACCTCAAAGAGGACTCGAAGCCGTGCCGCAAGCACAAGCAAGAAGGACCAGAAGGCTTCGAAAATTGCGGGAGTTCCGCTGAAGAAGAAGGAGCAAGAAGAGCGCAAGGTGCTCGAGCTTCTGGCCATGTCGTCTTCGTCGCCCGCTCCCTCTACATCGTCGCCGAGTCCCGGCTTCAGCCCGCAGAAGTCGAGAAAGAAGCTCAGGATGGACGATGCACTTGCGCTCTTGCCCTCACGCAAGCCGATCGCCCATCCTCGGTCGGCCAGGACGAAAGCGAAGGCAAAGTCTGCACCTAAATCCCAGCAGAAGGCAAAGCCCGGCACTTTCCGCTCCGTCTCGACTCGAATTTCGCGAAAAAGTGACACGGTGATCGAGGTCTCGGACGAGGCCGAAGAGCAGAGCGATGACCAAACTGAGCATAGCGACAACGAGCACGATGGCAGCGACGAAGAAGCTCCCGTGATATCCCGACGGAGCAGGCCTAGAGCCGGGACACAGTCCAAGACGACGCTTGACAAGGGAAAGCGACGAGCCAGATCGCCAGCCCGCTCGTCTTCGCCCTCGCCCACCGACGACGCTGTTCTGCGCGCCACGCGCCTCAAGGAGATTGCAGAGGCTGCCAACTACAAGCTCGAGGTCGAGGTCACGCTCTGATTGCACATCCCATCTCGGGCGTCTGGTCCGCCCCGCGATCTCCGCTATCCGTTATATTTCTTTTTTTTCTCTTTGGCTTTTCTCCAAAGCCTATATCACTCCGCCTATCGGTTCATCGTCGACAAGATCAGCCACGCTGTTTCCCGCACGCCCAAGTGTTCCTACGGTGTCGACAATCTGTCGCTCAGTATTTTTTTTTTTCGGTTTCTTCTATCTGTTGTATTCCTAGTCTGCTGTTCCGCCTCGAATTTGACCATGTACTTGTTTCGCCAATCTGTCCAGCCATTTGTGTGTGTGTGCGCGCACTTTTGTGGACGAATGATGGTATTGGTTGGGGTCACAGAGCGCGGCAAAGGTTGATACAAGAGCCAGGACGGGCGGGTGACAGATCGAGTGCAATCATCAATTATCGACAGGAGGAACTCGAGGGTAAAGTGTTGGCAGTCTGTGTCGTGGTGAAGATTTGGGGTGTTTTTGGGGGGGGGGGGGGGGGGGTTCACTTGCGCTTTTTGGCCTCCGGATCAAACTCGGAGGTTTCGATACTGAACTGAGCATAGTCACGGAGGCGTTGTGCGAGTTTGTCAGCGCCGAGGGCGGCGGGGGTGAGGACACCACCCTTGTTTCCGAGGGGAGTGAGCTGGGAGTTGGGTTCGAGGATGGTGAGTGCGGTCTCGACGATCATGCGGGAGGTGAGGAGGTAGCCGCCGTCTCCCTGGGCGGTTAGTGAGCAGATGGCCTGCTTGCGATCAGGACCGGCGGCGGTAGCTACAGTCTCGACACGGAGACGGGCAGAATGCTGGAGTTTCTCGCTAGGACCCGAGTTCTGCTTCATGGACTTGGACATGATCCAGCGCACCAGGGCAAAGTTCATGAGCAGCCAGGTGGAGACGAATCCGGTATAGGCGACAATGGTGGCGACGATGCGATTGGGAAGGATGAAGCCCTCGGTGTACTTGAAGCTGTCGCCAAAGAAGGCGGGAGACGCATGGTGTTTGAGCAGGCCCCAGGTTCGCATCACCATGCGGGTGTTGTGGTAGGTGAATGCGGTCTGCGCACCCCAGCGACGACGCTGGGGAAAGTAGTGTGCAGCCTTGAACGAGAGAGAATCCGGGGCAGACACGGGGCTGAGCCAGTCGCCTCGCTTGGGGAGCATCTGTTCTGGCTCATCCGCCATCGAGATGGCGCTTGCCAGAGTACCGGCGGAGAGGGCGGGGGGCAGATCGTAAGCGCACTCTGCGAGTTCGACATTGGCACCATTTGCGAGTTTCTTGGCCTCCTGAACAGCCAGGTAGGTAGTGAGGTCGAAGGGAAGCGAGTCGAAGCCGACCGACGGCGCAATGACGAGCTGCTTGGCCTCTGCCTGGCGGTGGAACTTTTCGATCACGTCGGCATTGAATCCAGTTTCGCCCGACAGGTCGACGTAGTGGGTGTCGGTCTCGATGCAAGCGCGCACGACCTCTTCGGCCTTGAAGGGGCGGAAGGGGCCGACGATGTTGACGAGCACGCGAGCCTGGCCCGTCATGCGCACCAGAGACGCATAGTCGTCGGTCTGGGCCTCTATCACCCCCACCGAGTCGGCCAGCGATAGTGCGCTTCGCGTCGACGCAAGTCGAGACGCGGATCGTCCAGCCATGGCCCATGTGGGCTTCTGAAGGTGCGCGGCCAGATACTTGCAGCACAGCTTGCCCGTGAAGCCGGTAGCACCAAAGACCACAAGGTCGTATTTCTTGCCGTCGTTCTTGGACGCCATTGTTGAA